GTGTATCAACAAATGGCACAACGCTATAAAATCAAGTTAAAATCCCTAACACATTTACCCAAAGACAAGTTAGAGCAACCAAATCAAAAGTGTTACATTGAATAACTTCCACAATTTACTTTTGACTTCATTTTTGGGGTATATATGGAAGAGGTAAGAGACCACTAAAATCCTAGGTACACATAAACCATACCATGTAAACATACTATCGAACACTGGGCAAATGCTTACCTGTTACGCCAGTTTTGGGATAAAGGAACTGGAAGAACTCCTCGGGGATCAGCCCAAAACGAACTTTTCCTCCATATTCAGGAAGAGGTGGTACAGGGGCAAGGCTTGGCTGCCCTGTGTGAAAGATCCTTGTTGCCTGCAATACCCTTCGGGTAGCAATTATACAAATTTAAAGCCTATTCTTTAAAAAGAACACAATGTACGCACAATTAGTAGAAACAATGAATGGGGATGAGGACAGAGGCGATTTCCCACTGTCATAATGGAAAGGGAACGGACCAGGAACAGGAAAGGGAGGGTTCAATAATTAGCTGTGTGACAAAGGTGAATGACTAAAAGATTTGTTTTGTTTTTTAAAATGTTTGTTTATTTTTGAGAGAGAGAGCATGCAAGTGGGGTAGGGGCAGAGAGAGAGAGAGACCGAGGCTCTGAAGTGGGCTCTGCGCTGACAGCAGTGAGCCTGACATACGGCTCCAACTGATGAGCCACGAGATCATGACCCGAGCCAAAGTTAAGATGCTTAACTGACTGAGGCACCCAGGTACCCTGACTGGAAGTTTTATGTAACTATCCACCCAAACCAGAAGCCCTTCTGTAGGTCTTAAAGGTCATCTGTCTAGCACTTTGTATGTCTATTACTGGAACTGAAAACATAACATAGACCCTGCAGCCAGATTATCTGGGTTTAAATCCTAGACGTGCCACTAGACTTTGAGCAAGATTAAGCTTCTGTAATCAGATTTCTCTCCGTAAAGTGGGAATAAAGAACATGCTTTTACAGGGTTGCTGTGAGGATTTTATGTAAAGTCTTAGAATGGTGCTAAGCATACGGTAAAGTTCTATGTAAGCGATTAGCTATTACAGTACAGGTCCACTGTGTTGAGAGCACCTTGATGGCAAGGACTTTGGCCCTTCTGAATATGCTCTGCGATGGTGTGCTAACTAATCATGGTGTGAAACAGGCCTTTTCAGTGTCGGACAGATTATGTTGGTCTTTAAGCTGAACTGCTGTGTACAAACTCGAGACCTCTATCCATTAGTTCTAATGTTATTTTTCTATGTAACACACATAACGCTCGTGCATCTGGGTTAAATATCTTCAGTTCTCTCACAATCCTAACTGTCCCCCACAAGGAGCTGTCTGGTTTTATTTACTAAAAGGAGATATACAGAACTGAACATAATACTCTAAATACAGCTTGATCAATTCATTCGTTCTCCAAATATACATGGAAGACCTGCAAATGCCATTACTGGGCTTGAATCACTGTACTATTACCATGGGTTTGTAAACTATGCTCATATTCCAACAGCTCAAGGTTGCATTTTTAGAAGTTACAGTATATTGGTATTTCATTACAATTCTGATGAAATAAAATCCTCTAGTCTTTTTATATATGCTGTCAGCTCCGTCTCCTTCAAATTCCCAACATGTTTTTGTCCCCCACCCCCCTGCTCTGCCTCTATCCCTTTGCAATGTAGGCGTTTATACTATTTCATTGATGTTGGTTTGCTGTTTGTCTTTTGAATATTTCTCCTCTCAATGTCTTGGCTAGCCCACCAACTTTTGAAATCTGAGAATCATGCTCAAGATTCTTTCATTTAAATGAGGGTTTCTCAACCTCACCACTACTGACTTTCTGGACTATTGTCAATTTTTTTGTTGCTGTGGAAGGCTGTTCTGTACACTGTAGAGTGATTAGCAGTACCCCCAAGGCCTTTATACACAAGATGCCAATTAGCATCCCCTCTCCCACCCAGTGGTGACAACCAAAAATGTCTTCAGACATTGCCAAAATGTCCCCTGGAGAGCAATACTACTCCAGGACGAGAACCAGATTTAAATCAGTGGTTTAAATCTTGAACTATAGAAGTTGCTTCAACAAGTTCTTGAACTATTTAAACTTGCTTGTTTAAACTAGAAAACTTGCTTCAGACCAACTCAAATTCTCTCCCCAACTGCCTTAGTTCAAGCCCTCATTATCTCTGGCCTAAACCAGTTAACAATCCCAAACCTGGTCTCCCTGCTTCTCGACAAATATACCTCTTAAACTTAGCTCCTCCCCGCTACTGCCAATGTTTTTAAAATGCAAATTTGACTTTAAAACTCTTCAATAGGCTCTCCTGCCTACAGAAAACAAACTCCTTAATATAGCATACACGATTCAGCACCTGTCAGATTTTATATCATCTTCCTTCATTCTCCTACCCTCTAGCCATATGGAACTACTCAGAGCTCTCAAAAACAAACAAAAAAACCAAAAACATGCCTCATGCTGCTCCTTCTGCCTGGTATGTCTTTCACTAAACGGCTGCCAAGCCCAAGCAGCCTTCACAACATTTCAAGCATATCCTTTATAAAGGCCTCCCCAATCTCACATTCAGTCATCCTTATGTCAGGTGTTGGCAGTACAGCAATGAGCAGACAAGGTCCCAGCCTTCACATTCTAGTGGGGTTGTGGAACGTATGAGTGTGTAGGTCCACATACAATTTCAGGCACTGAAAGTCTATGAAGAAAAATGGGGTGGGGTAAGGTAAGGAGCTAGGGAGCAATGCAGTGCAAAAGGCTTTTTTGGTAGGAGGTCAGACGACACATGAGTCAATGACCTGGGGAAAAGAGAGAACAAGTACAAAGACCCGAGGCAACAGTAAGCTTGGCAATTTTCAAAGGAACAGCGAGAAGGCCAGCATGGCTGGAGAGTGTGCTAAAAAGAGAATATAAAGAGATAAATCGAGAGGGAGGATGAGATCAATTCATGTTGGATCTTCTGCGTTATGGTAACTCTGAATTTTATTTCAGTGGGATGGGGAGCTCTGGAGGGTTTTGTTGGGACTGGGGGGAGGGGTGGGGGTCATGTAATCCTTAAGGCTACTGTGAGAACAGGTTGTAACAGGACAAGAACGGAGAGACTACTGAAATAGACCAGGTGAAAGTTGACAGTGGTTCATACTTCAGTAGCAGTGGTAGTGAAAAAAACAAGAGTCCAGATAAAATCTGGAGGAAGGGCCTTGTTGAATGAATTAAATATGGGATGTGGAAGGAGAAATCAAGGATGTTCCCTATATCTTATATACAGTTATTTTATTTATGACTTCTTTTACAATGACTTGTTAACTTGTCCATATGGAATCTTTTTTTTTTTCTGATAAGCTAGACGCAATTATAGCCTCACTTTATTGCACACGCAAAAATGACAGATGGATTAAAGCCATTTTTTCAAGGCACAAATAGCTATCAAATCTTGCAAGATTTAGGACTAAGTCGGGAAGCAAAAAGAAATTCCAAAGAAAACTGACATGTTTTATGAAACATGAGTGACAGACGGTAACACTAATCACATACTATGTATCAAGCACTGTTCTTAGAGTTTCACAGTAACCAAGTCTCTTAGTTCTCATAACCCACAATGTACTATTATCTCCATTTTGCAGATGAGGAAATTGCAGTCACACAGCATCACAAGTGGAGGAACCAGGTGTATCATGTTCTAGCTTTAGAATCTTTGCTCTAAACCATTACTCTCTACCACTGCCTTCTCTAGAAGACTGAGCTCCACAAAACCAAGTTAGTTAGCCTTCCTCATTTTTCTATCTCTGGTTATGTAGGTAGGAAGACATTTACTGAACGAATGATTTCTCTGACTCTTAAGATTTGGTAGTAAAAGTTGGAATCTGGGAGAGACTGAAAACAACATTCTTCTTTTATTTAGCAGAACTCGTTTTTGGGTATGCAATCTATCAACTCCGACTCCGGCTGTGGACTGTGGCAGCTACCTCTAGCTGAAGGTCAGAAGGGAAAGGGGCGGGGCTTAGAAGACACCAAACACCAGTTTCCAGCTTAGTTAGAACACATCGCTTAGCCTATTAATCTTTGCCGTGAGATGACACAATGTTCCAGGCGGTTAGAACAACACAAATGTTTGAATGAGGCTTTAAGCTTTTCAAAATTACCTAAAGAGGGTAACTTCAGGCCTAAAGCTAAAAGGGGGTTACAGAGACATGAAACGAGGTGATAAAACAAGGACGAAGGGCAGTATTACACCTCTCCTACTTACCCTGGACCGAGGAAGGCTGCGTTCTTCAGACGGGGGGCTACACAGAAACAAGGCGCAGGTCAGCAAGGTCAAGGTGAAATCTCGTCTGCCCCTCCCTCGGTCCCCGCGAGGCCTGCCCACTAAGACCATGGACTCCTCTTTCCTGTCCCCCGGGACTCCCACGCTCCCCTTACGAGAGACGTAATTCATTTCTCACTCAGGCCCAAGTCTTGCTGCGCCTTTCTACACCCCATTTCCTCCCACCCCTCCCATGGAATCCTAGACGCATTCCTTTGCAATCATCCTGATAGCCCGGACTAGGGTCTAGACGGCTCACCCGCTGCAGCGGCCGCAGAAAGCACCACCCGGGACAGCATAGTCAGCGAGGGTCCACGCAGCACTCTCCGCGTCCTAGTGACCCGGGCAAGAGACACTGTCAGGGGCGGGAGCAAGATGGTCGCTCACAAGTCTCGCGAGAACACAACGTTGCGTCCTCTGGCCATTAACTGGCCTCGGATTTTTTTCTCGCGATAAGAGGCACGGAACGCGGAGACCCTTTTGCCAGAGCGCAGCCGGCTGCGGAAGGGAACCGTACAAGCAATTCTCGCGAGATGTAGAGTGACCGTAGCTTGTGGAGAGGGGCGGAGGCCCAGAGGGGCACCACGTGGGGACTGCCTGGAGCTGTCTCGGGCGGGCGTTCAGTTTGGGTCTAGGCTGGAGTTGGAACCGTGGAGATGCGAAAGGAAACGCCGCCCCCACTAGTGCCCTCGGCGGCCCGCGAGTGGAACCTTCCCCCTAATGCGCCCGCTTGTATGGAACGACAGTTGGAGGCTGCGCGGTATCGTTCTGGTGAGCCAAGATCCCGGGCCTGGGAGCTCCCTCATCCTGCCCGGGATGCCCTTTCCCAGGACTGGCCTTTCCAGCGCTCCTTCCCGCCCCGCATGCCTTCCTGACCCCCGCCTCGCATCGCCTAGTTCAGTCCCCAATCTTAACCCCGCGTTCCTGAGCTCAGACCCAGACCCGGCCCGCGTGCTGTTCAATGTGGTCACCATGGAGACGAGCCCTTCCACTAGTCCCGTGCTGACAGCTTGTACTTCCCTTAGATGGGGCGCTCCTGCTCGGGGCCTCCAGCCTGAGTGGCCGCTGCTGGGCTGGCTCCCTCTGGTTGTTCAAGGACCCTTGTGCCGCCCCCAACGAAGGCTTCTGTTCCGCTGGAGTACAGACGGAGGCCGGAGTGGCTGACCTCACTTGGGTTGGGGACAGAGGTATCCTAGTGGCTTCCGATTCAGGTGAGTCACTTTCTCCTCGACCCCACAGGTGAAATAGATGATGGGATACTGGTCGGGCTGGACTCAATCTTTAATGTTCCATAATCAGTGCTTAGGGGGGCTTGAGGGTATTGGCCAAAGGAGAGCTCTTGTGTAGTGGGAAAATACCTTTCGGAGACTATAAATTGCATGGGGGGAATTTCTAACAAAATTAAGGAATGGATAAGAACCATTTTATGTTTCCAGTAACCTTCCCAGTATCTCTCCTCAAACCCAGACAATCTTGATCTTAAAGATGATGCTTAAGTCAGTTTGTGTTGTCTCTTTCCATTTCTTCCCATTTTCTTCTTTTTAAATGTCTTTATTTTGCTTCCTTTGTTTTGAAAGTCAGGTTCAGCAATGGCGTCTTTGACATTAAAAAAAAAATCAGTATTTGGGTGTTGGAAGGCATGCATAGAAGTGGGGCATTGAAAACTGAGCCTCTCTGACAGTTGAGCATGAGCACTACATATTCAAGACAACTTTTGGGGTGTTTTCTGTACTTAATCTGCCCCTGTGCAAGACATTCAGTTATTCAGCATATTTTTAAAGATGCTGTGAGACATTTATGCACGTTGTTCAACAAATACTAATGTTCAAGCAATTGGGAAGATTTAACCACACTGGGCTCTGTGCTACACAGATTGTGGAGACTTTAGCCTTGTCTCCTGGGACTTATCTTCCAGTGTTTTCTCACTGGAAGCCAGGTAATGAATTTTGCCAGTCATTCCACCTTTCCTTGTCTTTCTAGAAGTTTTCCCCACCTCGTTTTCTGGATTGTTAACTAAGAAAACAGTAATGCCAGCATAAAGCCAGATGGCTTGGAAATTAGCTAAATCCTCTGATGATAATGGATTTTGCTTTTATAGCAATAGCTTACTTTGTTAGTTTAGTGACAATGGATTCACTTGAACCTTAGACGTGAGTTACTGTCTTGGTGTTGTCCATGCTCATTTCCCTCAACCTTCACCCCACTCCCAACAGGTGCTGTTGAATTGTGGGAGCTGGATGAGAATGAGACACTCATTGTCAGCAAGTTCTGCAAGTATGAGCATGATGACATCGTGTCTACAGTCAGTGTCCTCAGCTCTGGCACACAAGCTGTCAGCGGTAGCAAAGACTTCTGGTGGGTCCTTGTGTTTATCGCTCCTGTATTTTAGACCTCTGCTGGGTTCCTTTACTATCTTATTAGCCTCATCGAGTAACGTTTTGGGCTTATTGTAAGAACCCCGTGATTAATTATGATTAAGATTTTCTTAGAGATATTGCAATCTATTGTGAATAGACCTTAGTAGCAGCCCAGTAAGCAGTGACATTGGACATGTCAAAGGAAGTTCTTGTTTGAACACGTGTTTTTACGTAGATAGTATAGGTCAAAATTAAGACTCTGTTTCCTTTTGCTTCTTAGTATCAAGGTTTGGGACCTTGCCCAGCAGATGGTACTGAATTCATACCGGGGTGAGTACACATTCTTTTCAGTCTGGCCTTAGCTGTTTTGTTGTTATTCTCCCCTTGGGCTCATTGACTTTGGATGTTAGGGGCAGCAGTTCCTTGCCCTCTGCCTGATGGTTTTCTTCCAAAACTATAGTCAGGCCCCAGTATCTGTCCCTAGCCTTTTCTGAATTTCCCTGTTTCTGGTAACGGCCCCACCATCTTCTTGGCCACAGGGGACTCCACCTCTCAGTCCTGTTCCCCACTCCTGCTTCCTCACTATTAGTGGGTCCCCAAGTTCTTTGGAACCTTTTTCCCCTTGGTCAGGGATCTTCCTTTCCATTTCTTTCTTTCTTTTTTTTTTTATTTTTTTATTTTTGAGAGACAGTGTGAGTGGAGAATGGGGAGAGAGAGAGGGAGACACAGAATCTGAAGTAGGCTCCAGGCTCTGAGCTGTCAGCAGAGCCCAATGTGGGGCTCAAATCCACAGACCTGGGATCATGACCTGAGCTGAAGTCGATGCTTAACCGACTGAGCCACCCAGGCGCCCTCTTTTTCCATTTCTGATGCGTTTTGTTTTCAGGCTTTACCTCGCATAGATGGTGGTACTCCCCTCATCTCTCCACCTGTAGTCCCTCATCTTTTGTGGTTTCTGTGACTTGTGGATTCACATCCCCTTTTCTTGTCCTGGCATTCAAGCCCTTCTGTCACTCTCCCTTCAAACATACTGCTCTAATTAAACCCAAGCATAGTAGATCCTTGGCCTTCTCCAAGTATAAACCTGAGACGTGGGAATCTCGAGCTTTTGAGTATTCACTTCCACAAAAGTTTTGTTTTTCTGGTGAGAACCATCACTTCGTATTAATGTTACTTTTTCTGCTTACTTTCATTAATAACAGTACCAGTTGACTTTGTTCTGAGAGCCATTCTTCATGAAGATGACATCTTCACGAAGATAACGAGTAGAGCATTAATGTGTGTGTGGCTAAGAGATGTTCATTCAATGGCTAAGGGCCTTTCCCTGCCAATTCTAACTTTGGAGTGCGTGATTCACTATGTGCCAGAGCAAAATCAAACTCATACACATCCTGGACCTTCAGGGTCCAAGGCCCATAAACAGTCAAACAATGTTAAAATGCTGGTGCCGGAGTCTGTTACGTGTGCCTTTTGTTTCTTAGGCCCACGAGGGGTTTTCCTGGTCTGTGCTAACTCTTTCAGTACTTCCTCTGTTCAGCTTTTTTCATTAGTTCTTTGTATTTTTGTCTGAATTGCAAATCCCCTGAGGGCAGAGGCACTACGTAGTATCTTTTTTTTTTTTTTAAATATAATTTATTGTCAGTTTAGCTAACATAAAGTGTATGTAGTGTGCTCGGTTTTGGGGGTAGATTCCCGTGATTCATCGCTTACGTATGGCACCCAGTGCTCATCCCAACAAGTGCCCTCCTCAGTGCCCATCACCCATTTTCCACAGTGTGGAAGTTCCTCAAAAAGTTAAAATAGAACTACCCTACGTCTTCTTTATCTTTTATACTTTCCCATGGCGCTTGTGTCTGAGCTTTGCTTTCACTTGAACAATCCTTTGTCATTGTGTTGGCTTTCTGTGGAATCTAGGGCAAGGAAAGAACTATGGAAGGTGGTTTGATTACATTCTCCTGTCTTGGGGCAGAGCCATATTCAGACCACTTCAGGTAATCTGGTCAGATGCCATTATAGTAGGTGGTTTCCACAGCATGTAATTAACACATAGCAGCGATCTTCAGAATTTTTAGCATGTCGGCCTGAAAATTTTTCAAAAAATTACCCTCTCACATGTTTTGATATTGGCAACTAATTTAAGTTTAAACAGTTGCAAAGGAAGTAATTTCTGGTCATTTATTGTGTACTGGTTTCAAGGATATGTTTGTCAAAATTTTGGACTTGGAGATTAAGCCTCTTCAATATGCAAAATATCTACCAAATAACCTAACTGGCTAAAAACCAATCAGCACTGTTATGCCAGCTGGCCAAGTTAGACTTCACTTCCTGTCAGAAAAAGTCCGACTTCGTTTTTAGGTTCAGTTAGACTTGTCAGATGTGTCCTTACCACAAGCGTTTGCCATATTTTTCAAAATTGTCATTGTTAGGCAGAAACAGAGATAAGTCCCAGAGCCACCCTGGTGCTCGTGTGTTGTGGTTTGTGGTCCGGTGAAACGGGGCCAGCCCCTCCCCTGGATTTTACCCAGGTGCTCTTTCGTTTACTCTCTGGTTCTTAGGGAAAAGCCCCTTTTGGGATTTTGTACCCCTGTGGGTTTTGTACCCCTAGGCATCGTGCCATGGTGAGGTGTGGGACGGCCGAGAGGTACTTGTGCCTTCTACGCCTGGGAAAACGGGAATGTGAGAGCAGAGGGAGGCAAGGGGCACAGGCAGACTGCGGCAGCTTCTCGGTTCGATTTCAGGAAAGAGAACATCGGAAAAGTTTACTTCCCTAAAAGTAGCAGCGTCTAGAAGTCCCTTGAAAGGCTCTGTGTTACCTGGAGGTGTGTGTGTGCTACACAGCAGGCTGTTCTGGGGTGTACATTCCTTCATGCTTCTTGCTCAGCCCCTAATTCCTCTTTCTTGTCTTTACTAATTCATTTTTCTCCCCCAAGCCTTTTTAGGTTCTGTAACTCCACCAACATTTTCTCCGGGGTTTTGTCTAATCCAAAATCTCTCACAGAACGGGTTAAGTCGCATCCTGAGACCAGGCCTGTTTCTCACACCTCCCTCGGTAGTATCTGGGCTGCTCGGTAGTAATGCGTCCAGCTTCTGCTCTGTCCTACTTCGCTTTCTCTCTCCTTCACAGCTCACTCCGGGCAGGTCACCTGTGTCGCCGCCTCTCCCCACAAGGATTCCGTGTTCCTTTCATGCAGTGAGGTGAGATACAGCCTCTCCTTCCCTCCCCACTTCCTAATCACACTCAAACCTCTGGCCACAAGTCTAGAGTGGACACCTGGCCAGCAGCTGCTTTGGGGATTGTGAAGCCTTTTTTCCATCCCTCCTCCTTCTAGGACAACAGAATTTTACTCTGGGATACCCGCTGTCCCAAGCCAGCATCACAGATGGGTGAGTCTGAGAGCCGGTGGTGGGAGGGTATACTAGCAACCCACCTGGCAGAGGCTTCCTTGGCGAGAGACAAAGGCACAGTCACCAGATCCTCAGTCATTGTGACATAGGGGACGTAATCACTCTCTTTCCCTCTGAGGTTCTATTGATTCCATTTTGTGCAGTGGGGACCAAAAGGAAGGGTAGGCTTGTGGGTGGCCGATTCCGTTCCTGGGACGGGTGGACAGAGGGGCCAGAATTGTTCTCTTCATGCTTTATGCCTGAAACTTGCCTGTGACTCGGGTCCGTCCAGAAAGGGCAGGAGGCTGAGGGATCAATGAGGTTTTGAGGGTCAAGGGCAAGGACACAACTGTCTTCACAGGGTTTGGGAAGGCGAATAAAGGTGCTTCTGGGACTTAGAGTGACTTCGTTTGAGAAGCTTCTTCACAGAGCTAGGCTCTGAGTCTTATTTCAGAGCCCTCTTCTCTCTGCAGGCTGCACTGCCTCTGGCTACCTACCTACCTCCTTGGCTTGGCATCCTCAGCAGAGTGAAGTCTTTGTCTTTGGTAAGCCTGTCACACCACATTTTTACGCCAGGAAGGGGGAGGACGAGGGCACGCTGACCCTGTAACGCACAAGGCTCCAGCTGCACAATCTCAGCAGCGCACTTGGGCATCACCGTATTATGCCAGTGATAAGGCGGGATGATCCAGAAGTGGTTTTCGTTTGGCTTTGGGAAAAAAAAAAACATGACGACTTTTTTCCTGGTAGATTTGATTGCTGATTGTGCATTCCAGCTCCTATATTCCGGGCTTGGCTGCAAGTCGGTGGAGTACAAAACAAGTGGATTGCTATATAGGGACTTCTGTTACAGAACAGGGCTCACTCTCGTGCTCTTGTGGTGATGAGGCAGTGCGTGTGGTGACATAGTCTGTGGTTGAAATAATAACTACCTCATTCATTAATTTTCAACAACTACCAGTGACTAACGATCCCTACTTTACAAAAGAAGAAACTGATGCTCAGAATGGTTAGCTTGTGCAAGCTTGAGGAACTAGCATTCAGATCCAGGTCTGGCTGACGCCAGGGCCCATGCTCTTACCCATTGTGATGGGCTCCCTCTTTTCTCTAGGTGATGAGAGTGGGACCATCTCCCTTGTGGACACCAAGAGTGCAAGGTGTGCCCTCAGCTCAGCTGTCCACTCCCAGTGTGTCACTGGACTGGTGTTCTCCCCACACAGGTACTGTCCTTTGTTCCCAGGGGCCTGGTGGGTGTGAATGGGAACTGCACACGGGGAGTGCTTATGTTTGCAAAGCATTAGCTGATTAGGTCATTCCTTAAAGCAGACGGTGCTCTAATTAAGGTTTCAGAACACGAAAGATCTCTTAAGACCATAGTCCTTTTTTGGGTAGCATGGTCTTGTGTTCACATGGCTAAAATAGGGTCTTGTTCCTGCACAACACCCAAAATGATGAATATCGTGGGCTTCTGGGACTGTGTGGTTGGGAAAGCCTGTGTTTCTGGGTTATTGCTGAAGCTGCAGGGAGGGCCTAGATGGGGTGGTTAGTTGCCGGGATGATGGTCAACCCCGGCTTGCTCCATTTCCCTCATCCTTCCCTGCAACTTGTAATGTGGACTTGAGTGGTAGCCAGACCTTAACCTGAGGTGGGGATCAGGCCACCTCCTCTGGGTTACTTTGGGGTGGGGGTTGAGGGCAAACCAGGTAGGACTTGTCTTGGAACCATGGCTTTACCTCTCATAACCGCCCCCCGCCCCCTTGCTCTCCTAGCTCTCCCTTCCTGGCCTCTGTCAGTGAGGACTGCTCACTTGCTGTGCTGGACTCGGGCCTTTCCGAGGTGTAAGTGTGAAGTGGGGTCCTGTGACCGGGAATCGGGGACAAGAGCGGAGGGTGGCTGGGTCCTTTCTGTCTCCATGCACTGTCTCTCTCAAGGGGGCTGGGTGATGGGAGCAGGCTGACACCGACCGGCTCCCCGTCCCCAGTGCTGGCTCACAACTGGCCCTGGTAGAGGAGGGGTGTGGTGGGCGGTGGGATTTCCAAGTCTGGTGTTCCAGCTGTCTCCCAGAAGGGGGCAGTCTACCCTTTTCACGCGAAGAACACGTATATGAGATGCAACCTGCTGTGCAGTGAAAGGCACCAGAGTCCCTGAATTCTACTGCCTTCTTTGCCATGATGTGCTCTCTGATCCTGGCCCATGTTACTACCCTTGTTGTAGCCACCATTTCTTCATGAAGTTAGGGTGCTGGATTGAAGGGTCGATGAAGTTCTCTGGATGATTACACTCTATCCTGGTGACAAGGCCACACATCTGGTGAAGTTTGTATAACACATCCCAAAAAGGTGCCCTGGATGTGTTGGATTCTCTCTTTTCTCCAAGCCTGCTTTCTCCTCGTTCTCACCGTGCCCATACTTTCCTTTTTTCTCTTCTAGGTTTAGAAGCCGAGCCCACAGAGACTTTGTGAGAGATGCTACGTGGTCCCCGCTCAATCACTCCCTCCTTACCACAGTGGGCTGGGACCATCAGGTCACCCACCACATCGTGCCCACGGAGCCTCTCCCAGCCCTTGGACCTAAGAGTGTTGCTGAGTAGATAAGACAAAAAACAAATCCCCCATGAGTAACCACTCCCTTTGCCCTGCCCTCTCAGTCTGTGAGACCACACAGGAGCCTTATACACTATGTTGATACACTAGATCTGGGCAGTTAATAGGCATTGTCTCTCAGCCCAAGGAAGGCTGGATTCTGGGATCTTGTAGTCCCAGGGAAGAAAAACTTTCCTAAAATTGGATATGTATGTGTGTCTGAGTGTGTGTGTAGATGCATAGTTTTTGGTGGTGGGGGGGAATTAAAATCCATCTTATGTCTTTCCCAAGTCCTTCCCCCACCAAAAAAAACAAAAACCAAAAAAACCCCCAAAAAGTTCACAAAAGGGTTTTATGCTTCCTATGTAGCTGTGCATGAGGAATTGGCCGTGGCTAGATGGAATGTGGGATGTGGGCATCCCTGGATTCTTGGAAGCAGCTTATATACTACTCATGGAGATAGAAGCAACTTTATTTTTTATAAAACTTAATCTACCTTTCTCATGGGCAATGCTTCCATCCACAAAACTCTTGCCCGACTCACCTTGAGGAAGAGCCAGAACACTCATCATAGTTTTGCACATCTCCTTGCCGTGAAACTGACTCAAAAATACATTTTTTGGCTGGTGCCTGTGTAATGCTCCCCACCCCTCGTGGAGTTGTGTGTATGAAAGATGAGTGTTTTCCTGTCGTAGATTCCATGGAAAAAGTTGGGGGGTGGTACAGAGCTTAAAGGCATTTCGATTAAGTGAAAAACTGACCCAGGCTTGCAGAGAAACATGTGCCACATCTCCCACCCCCAAACAGCTTGGGGCCTGACCTCTCCTGGCCTCTGGATCCCTTTCTCTGGATATAGGAAGTCTGAATGCTGTTTTTGTGGACTCCGAAGATTTTAAATGCAGCATCAGAGAATCAGAAATACTGGTTGGTGAAATAAAAAGTTTAGGCTTTGCTGGCCTGTCTTTTGAAGTGTGTGTTATGTGCAGTTGGACACATCTCACTTACGTGAGGCATCAGGGTGTTCGTCTTCTAGCCCGTTGTCTGTGTGCTTCCCCAGCCCTTAGAGCAGCTAGTTGGAACTTAAAGTAAATGTTGAGTCACTTGGGTTGATGGGTTGGCTACCACCATAAATCATGGTCAATTACGGATTATGAAACTCAATACAATCAATTATGTACTTTAGTGCTTTGCAAGTTTAACTCAGCTAAAATCACATGAAACTGAGGTAGTTTGAAGGAATATGGATGAAATATAAATAAAGCTTCCATGCTGCACCCTTGCCAAGCATGAGCTCTTGTCACAATAACCCCCAAGTAAAAACGAATTTGTAGTCCTGTGCTGTACTGGGCTTGGGGTAGGTGGGAAGAAGCCCTTCACCGTTCTTAATTACAGCTTCTTGGAAGGTAATAGGGTGGGTGGGTAGAAGCATTTTAAGTTCTTCTCAAGGTAAACTTCACAAAGTTGTGATGGCCTAGAGAAAGGAGGGGTGAGGTGGGTAGGAACTAAATTTGCCTAGTCCTTTTCCTGGTGAACTCAGCCATGGTGGAGAGGAAAGCAGTGGAGATGAGAACCCGAGGAAATGTCCACCTGTATCAGGGTGTTTAAAATGACAGGAAAGAAAGAAAACCTAGGTTTTGAAGAACCACATTATTGTAAAAAAAAAAAAAGGGGGGGGGGGCGCCTGGGTGGCTCAGTCAGTTAAGCATCTGACTTCGGCTCAGGTCATGATCTCACGGTTTGTGAGTTCAAGCCCCACGTCGGGCTCTGTGCTGACAGCGCAGAGCCTGGAGCCTGCTTCACATTCTGTGTCTCCCTCTCTGCCCTTTCCCTGCTCATGCTGTGTCTCTCTGTCTCAAAAATAAACATTAAAAAAAATGTTTTCCCATGAGAACAGGCTAGGCACCAGGGAGGAGTATTTTCAAGTATCCGGGTGGGTGTGTAAAATAACAATTGTATTTTTTGACAGCAAAATGTCAAGGATTGAGAGCACACAGAGCGACATGGCATACTGACTTTCAACAGAACCCTCACTCGGCATTTACTATTCATCATCTGCTATACACATGGAGTCATAGTTCCTACCCTTGGCATGATCGTCCCTGAATGAAGCAGAGGTCCCTCCCGGGCATCCATTGTTACATCGTGGTGTTCTTTGCATCCATAGCAAAGGAATCAATGCATCCATAGCAAAGGCATGGAATCAATGGTTAGGTCTGAGATCCCGCCTTGTCCACTGCAGCAGAATAGGATCCCAGAGGACTGACCCAGGTACAGATGAGAATGGTGCAGATTGGCAGGCAGACTGAGCTCTGTGCTGGGGACAGCATTAGGAGCTAGTGCCTCCTGGAAGGAGTCGGGATGGAAAGGCACAAACCTAGTGGGAAATCTCAGTGATACGGAATCTGAGGGACAGGAGGTGGCAGGAGGGAGGCTCAGAATTAGAGAGAGGCATGCATCCACATTAGGGAGGTCTTAAAAGATAGCCAGCAAAGGCCCCAGGTGCCTGGCAAGACTGAGTCAGGACCCAGGCCCTGGGAAACAACTGTAGTGCCTACAGTTTACAGAACAGGAAGAAAAATGAATGTGGAGACCCATTAACAAGAATTAGGGGGCCTGGGCTAGAAATTGGGAAACAAGTAAGAGCATGGTCCTTAGTGTTAGAAACCACACCAGGGGTAATGTAGCCAGTGGTACAAGTTGTTGCCCATCCTAATCCAGTGTTGCCCTCAGGAGGCTTAATGATTTCCTGATTCAGGTTACTGTTAGCCCAAGGAATGGAGGGTGGCATTGAGCAGGTAGGTGGGACTCCAGTGGCCCCAGTGATGGTACAGAGTAAGTCTGTTTGGTGATAAAACTCACATTTTCCCCACTGCACCTATCCAAGAGAGATGAGAGAGATGCATACATCTCCAAGAGAGAGACATACACTCGGGGGTGTGAACAATCTGTTCACTAGACTAGAAGCTCCCTGAGAGCAGAAACTGTCTTGATCACCATTGCATCTAGAGTGCCTAGCAGGGCCTGGCACATGCTCAAGTATTTGTTGAGTACTTAAGGCAAGGCAAAGATGGATGAGTAAGTGGAGACAGTCTCTTTTAGGTGGGGTATTCCATCAGGCTTACCTAGAGTTTTACTGAAATATTCCTTGCTTACACATCCTATAACATTTATTGTTTTTATTCCATGATATCCAAGCAGTCTTCTTTTTTTTGATTTTTTTATTTTAAAGTTTATTCACTTTTGAGAAAGAGAGAGACAGAGCATGAGCAGGGGAGGGGCGGAGAGAGAGAGAGAGAGAGAGAGAGAGAGACAGAATCAGAAGCAGGGTCCAGGCTCCGAGCTGTCAGCACAGAGCCCCAGGTGGGACTCAAACTCACGAACCGTGAGATCATGACCCGAGCTGAAGTCGGACGCCTAACCGACTGAGCCACCCATGTGCCCCCAAGCAATCTTCTGATTAAAAAATTGATCTTCCTGGTTTCTTCATACTAGAAGTGGAACTAATTTAACCACTAGTCATTGTATTTTGCCGTGTCATTTATTATATTGACATCTGGTTAGTACCTCGGTGAAGTGTGGATGAGGTGAGCAGTGTCAGTCTCTGAGAAGATGAGCATCCGATTTCTGGTCCTCCATGATTGAGATTCAGATCGTGAAATATGGGACCTACTCATGATTTGAGATCCTCCGTAGCAGAAAAAGAAAACTGGCGGATCATAAAAGCATCTGGCTACAGATCTATTTTTGTTTATCCTTCATATTGTTGTTGTTGTATTTTTAAAATATTGGCTTTCAGGTATCCACAATTGTATTCCTTACATTCCTTAGGTTCATAACACATTCTCAGCGTTGGCTCGTGTACTGGCTCAAACACCGTTGACCCGCACGAAAATTCAGATTTTTGTCTTCTCTTGAGAAACTGAGCGATCTTCCAACACTGGGTCTTTTTCACTACATGGCAGCCGTGAGTGGTTACTCAGAACAGCTGCCTCTGTTCATACCCGTCTCTAGTGTCTCCTGACCAAGAGGCTTCATGTTAGTTGCTGTACGTCACTCGGCTCGGACTGCTATCCTTCTAATAAAGTGGAGAGTGAGCTATTTTATTGAGCCCGCTTCACCCATTTACATTACCTGCCTGGTGAGTCTCGGATGGGAGTTTGAGAACCCCGCTCTGCTGGGCAACTGTTCTGGCATCCTTAGTAACAGCTACCGTTCGCTGAGCCCTTATTACGAGCAAAGCCCTGAACTAACAATGTTTTGTACGTCATCTCGTTGACTCCTACCTATAAAACCGTATGAGCTGTTTTATGAGTGCGGAAGCTGAAGCTCAAAAAGCTAAGCAACACGGAGGTTCAAACCTTACCGTGCCTAGGTCCAAGGCTGGGACTTTTAAACTTTATATTCCACCCCTTCCCCAACTAATAATCCGGTAACAATGGAATGACTGCCTCCATATAGTGTGTACTCCTCATACTCAGTCCTTGTGGCGCGAATCCCAGGAACTGGGCTGAGCGCTGCCCTGCCCTCGCCCTGGCCCGTGGCGGACACCCACCGTGTGCCAGGGTCAGACCCAGCTGCTGCTTTGTTGGTTTTGAGGGAGGACGGGAGGCTGCTGGCATCACTGTGGCTCTGATGGAGGACGGGAGGCGCTGGGGTCACTGTGACGCGGCAGCAGCCCATTCATCACCGCCCCTGGTTTTGTGTGTGTGTAGCCAGGCTATGTCAGCACTGTCCCGGGGCTGTGCCCGGGGAAGTTCCTATAAAGGCACTCGAGCCCTAGCCTTGTAGCTCTCAGACCTTTGAGATGGGGAGGCTGTTGCTGTGGGTTGGTGAGTGTGGCAGTTCCCAGCCCCTGAAAGGTCACTCAGTCCAGCAGACAGCAATGTTCAAGGCCTCTTGAGCACCTGAGAAGCAGCCTAGGACTCGAGATGGGGGGGGGGGGGGGGGGGGGCAGCTTAGGTGGAGGTGGGATGGGACATGGGGAAGGCACAGAGGAGCCCAGGCAGGA